CCGTGGTGCCCATCAGCCTGCCCTTCGGTTTTGTCACTAAGGATTTGGGCCTTACCCTTCTGAGGCAGGCATGTCTATAGAGTAAGGCACTGTGAAGTGGAAAGCTTTAAGACTTACCAGATGGGCTTGACCCACCTCCTCCAACCTACTGCCATGAAGGTGTATACGTGTACCCCATTGACGGTAGGTAGCTGCTGAACTGCCCCTGGAGTGCGTTAAGGTGTATCATACATGGATGCAGTCACGTTTGCTTGTTCTGCTAAGGCCCGTAGGTTGGTGTCCTGCATTAGTGTTCGCAAAACTATCCTCTCTCCTGGTGGGAAACAGCCCTCCTCGTGTAAACAGCATGAATCTGCTATGCAACTGATGGCTCAAGTGTGTTCATTTTGCAGCCCTGAATCTCACTGCATCACTCAGTAGTGGGTTGTGGGTTGGCTTCACCTGTTTATTCTGCAGGTGATGAAATAAGCTGTGGGTGACCCTTTGACACAAACCAAACCTCCAGGTAAGAAATACTGGTGAAAGATCTGCCAGAGGTTGCGAGCACTCTGCAGCCAGCCACCGTCCCTCTTCTCTCTGCTCTGCCCCTCTGCCGGGAAGGCAAGTGCCGAGTTGCAGTGTGTGGTCAGCTCATGGTTTAATCTTCCATAACTAGAGGGAGACGTTAGAGAGACGGGTGTGAAAGCAACCAGATCAGAGCATACCAACAGTCCCATTCCAAACCCCTCAGGTTAGTGGGCTGTGATGCTTGGGGCCTCAGTGCTAAGTGTTGTCAGGCACATGGCAGCAGTGACAAGAGCTGGCCACCACCTAACAGTGGCAGAGTCAGGAAAGGGCTCGGCTGTTCCATCAGCCCAGCGCAGTGACCACCAGAACACGCCCGTGGCCATCTCGGCTGCACTTACTCTGATGTTGAATCCCAGAAGATCACTTATAACACCTGAAACAGCCGACAGGATCACAACACGCGTGATGTTGTAGATTAAAGGGTTCATGGTCAGACCGTAGAGTCTAAAGGGCGTGTCTAGCTCCTGCAATGAAAAAAATGGAGATTAGGATAAGAGTGGATGTGGAGTTACTAGCGGCCTAAACAGTGTGGATACAGGCAGGCTCCTGCTTCTCCCCTCCCAAGTGGACCTGTTCTTCAGCTCCCACTGGCCGAAGGGCACCTCTCTGCCCCTGCTATTGCATTTCATAGCTAGTGGCTGAATGGCTGGACACAGCAGGCTGGCAGAGCCACGAGCCTGCTAGTTTACGCTCCTTCTGGCTACACATACTTTCTTTTCTTGGCATGGCTCAAGTCAGCTGTGTAGTACCATGCCTGCAGGGGAGATCCCTAAAGTTTGGCCCTGTAGCAAGCAGGCCCACTGTGGCGGGGAGGGAGGGAGAAGAAGCTGCGCAAACCAAAAAGATGGGGTCTGCTTCAAAGGGCTTATGAGGCACGAGACAGCAGCTGGGCCCAGACAGCAGTGCCTAAGGAAATACTAGGTGGGTGTGAGAGTCCGGGGTCTCTCCACACCAGCATTCTAGCCCGTCCAGTTTCTGTGAGCCTAGAGGAGGCTTGTACAGCTGGGAACTCACCTTCAGGAGTTTTGTAGACAGCTTTAGCACGTTGTTCACCAGTGAGAGCTGCTCCTTCTTGTTTGGCTTCTTTTCCATCTTCAAATACAGGTTTATCTGTGACAGAAACATGTATTACAGAGCAGAGCAGCAGCCAGTAGTGCCAGCCTTACCCCCCAGTCACCACAACTGCCGGGGCTGCTGCTCACTTACTGGCCTCCCAGTCTTTAACACACATGGGATTGAACTCTGGTCTCAAGTGGGGGGAGCATTCCCCTCCCCACCCTCAACACAGAAAATTAGTTCCAGCACTACTGTCTGTCTCCCTTCGTTTACATCCAAGCCCTGGTCCCCTGCTGTGTGTGTATGCCCACTCCTATTACAAACAGGAAGCCCCAAGGAGGGGACTGCAGCAGAAGTACCTGCTCCGTTAGCAGGATTGAGATATTGCTGTACTTCTTGTTGGTCTCGGAGCCCAGGGACGCCAGGCGCAGTAAAAAGAGGAGGAGGGCTGCTTCCCAGATCAGAAACTCCCAGTTGTAAGCAGCGTTCAGGAATGTTTTGTGACCTTTTAGCACCTGCACAGAATGTGACACTGAAATCAGCAACCTGCTGGAAACAGTCCCTGGTACCACTAGGTGCAGCTCAAAGGTCAGATTACATCACATACCCTCTATCCCACACCAGGACCAAGGGCAATGCCCTGCCTGCTATACATGAGCACTCGGTGATTATACACAGGGTGGAGATGGACGTGGGCTGGCTGTAGCGGACAGGACTAGGAGCAACAGCCTCAAACTATGGCAGGGGAAATAGAGGTTAGAGAGCAGGAGGGCGGGTCAAGCATTGGAATAGAAATTGTGGAGTCGGCATCCCTGGAAGTTTTCACGCACAGGACAGACAGACAGACCCATTAGGGATGCTCCTGCCTTGAGCAGGGGGCTGGACTAGACGTGATGCTGTGAGGGCCCTTCCAGCCCTGCTTGCCGATGATACCACATGCTTACGGTTTGTTAAGGGACCTGCCTGTGAGCCTCTCCCGTTGCACCCCCAAAACCCCTGCACTGCCCTGGAGTGTGTGAGCATGCTAGTCTGCAGCCTCAAGTGCCCTACAATTGTCACTAGCTCTGTAAGGGTCTCTCTGAAGCCTAGAGAGGATCTATAGGCCATTTACATGTAGCAGCATACACTCTACTGCCAGCTTGTCCTTACTCACCGGAAACAAATGTGAACATCTCACCTGTGCACAGCATATAAAAGCAATTGACAGAGCCAGTAAAAAGATGGAAGATACAACTACATCCACAGATCGCTGGGGCCCTCGCCTCTGTGGAAACAAATAATGACTTAAAGCTTGGATCTCTCCAGAGCTGCAGCAAAATATTGACCAGAGATGGACAGCTGTCACTACCCAGGAAAAGAAAGTGATGCCCTGAATGCCAGCTGCAAACATCAGCTAAGCAAGTCTCACCTTCAGATAGGAGCGAAGGGATAACCATATTTTAATATTTTCCACTTTCTTGAGTCTGAAGTGAGGGATTTCATACTTCCTGGCTTTCCGAGCAGATGTGATGTGGCTAAAAAGCTTGGCAAACAAAAGACGCTGCAAAGACAAATACACATGGGTAGAAGCTGTGCTGCTTGGGGTTGTCTAACAGGAACAGCTCCCCTACTGCAGCACTGGATTGGGGGGCTACACGATTAGGCTGTTGCTTATCGACACGGGCAAGCCGGGTTAGTTACAGATTAGCTACTAAGCAGCGCCACGGTTACTGCAGTGAGGCAAAGGACACACTGACGGAGGGGAAGGGCACAACTAGACAAACCTGTTTGTAGGTTCTCTCAGCAACGCACATCATGAAGAAGAACATCCATGTTAGGCACAGCCGCTCAAGGAAGTTAATCACAGCCAGGATGATGACAGGGGTAATGGTAGGTGCCCCACAGAAGACATGCAGCAGGTCCTTCACAGAAATGGACCATAGCTGCTCCAGGTTCTTGGTATGGAAGAGCCGGTAGAGGAAGGGAAGAAACGCCAGCCCGATAGTGATGGTGTTGCCCAGCATCTGGTAGCCCACTCCCTGCTGATAGGCATTAACCTGGAGAGCAGAGACAGGGCAGTAGTGTGATGTGGCTACCCCCCATTCCCTCGTGACCCCCTGAGGTGCATGCAGTGGCAGGAGCTGCCCCTCATGCCCTCTTGATGAGCCACGGCTCCATCCCATGCCCGCCCTGCCCTGGCTGGGTAGCACCTACCCCAGCCCCTGCCCCACTCCCTCCCTCACCGTGGAGAGCGTTGATCTACGCCCCCACGCCCCTTCCCTTCCCCCTTCCTCTCCACCACAACAGACTTACCAGTTGCATGCAGCTCTCCAAGCTGCTGGGCGGCACTCCTCACTACCAACGTGCTGTGCTGTGGCTGCGCACACGCACAGGTATTTATTGACCAAATTATCAGCAACATCAGGCCAATCTCCAATACAATCAGTTTTTTTTATATCGGTGCTGATCCAATATTGGATCAATGTATCGGTGCACCTCTAAACACAGCTCCTTACATCTCTCTAATGAGCTACTTCAGAGCATGCCAGACCCTCCTGGCTGTGCCAGACTTACTCTGAAGTGCTTGATTCGTACAGCCTGCACGCATCACGTTTCCCATCAAACACCATCATGCTCCTCTTACCCTGCTCATGATAATGCCACTGATCTCCAGTACAGACATGTCCAGCTTCTTGCACTCATTCCCTTCCCAGATTAGGGCACTCACTCTTGCAGATGCAGGGCTGGTATTCTGTAGCCAGAACAAATGGTTCTAAGGAAGACAATGCAATGTTGTACAGAAGATACAAACCATTTCAAAAGAGGCAACATTTTTACTGACAGTGTTTGGCTGCAAGCTAACTCTTCCAGGCAAATAAATGTGTGTATTCACCCACTCCTAGCACAAGGCCCTAATCCAGACAGGGCTTCTGGTCACTGTGAAAACTGCAGACATCCTACAGTAACAGTAAAGACTGAAACAATACATCCACTGAGCAAAGCACTGTCGTCAGGACACGCATACACCCCTGAACTGAGAAGAAAGAAATACTTCACAAAGTTTTAGAGGCTGTGGCAGTACTGCACACAGTTCAGGGAAAGGGAAAGGGGCTGGAAGAGGTGGTGCTGCAGGCAGGTCTGCCTTCAGTCCGCGGCCATGTGTGGTCATGATCCAGCACAGGGCCGGGGATCTGTCAGGAGGGCAGAGGAGCTTCTGTTCAGCCCCGAGCGGGAAGCACCGGTCCCCCGGGCTCAGAGGTCCCCCTACAGCCAGAGCAAGGCTCTGCCTCCCAGTGCTGGGCAGAGGAGGGTGTCCAGCCAGCACCAGCTGCTGGCCTGCCCCTTGTGCAGCTCCTGCGCCTTCACATGGCAGAAGATCACTGGGGTGGTGAGCAGCCTTCTGGGCACAGCCCTATGACTCCTCCACGAGGACAGCCGCCACTGGGTGCTGGTCCAGGTTTTGCCAAGTGGGCGCCTGGCTCCTGGCCCTTTACCTTTTGAAGCCCCATAGGCAGCTCTGCAGCTCGACCTTGGTCTAGACCAGGCCCTGGGTGAGAATATTTGGGCAGGCAGCCTTCCCTGGGTCCGCACATATCCGAGCTCTGCAGGACATGGCTGTTCAGTTCCCAGAGGGCAGCCCAAGGCTGCCGCTGGCCCCCAGCCCCAGGTCTCCCCGAGAGCCAGGGGGCCGGGGCACGGTGCTGCGAAGTGCAAGTTGGGGGGTCCAGATTTCCTTGTGGCTGGAAGCTTCCGAGCCCCTCTTCTCTGCACCCCAGGAGCTGGGACCCCACAGTGGCCCCTGCTGAGCAGCTGGAGAAGACCGGTCCCCAGAGCCCAGGGGAACGTGCCACACGGCTTCACACGTTCCAGCTAACTCCCTTGGCCGGAAACAAAGGCAGACCTCCTGGCCTCCAGCCTGATGTCTCTGGACTCGAGCACAGGCGGCTGTGACTTGTTCCTCTCCGGCATGGCAAATATGATCGGCCTTGGCAACCAAAGGATGCTGGCCCTGTGCAGAGTCAAACCCATAGACCCTGCATGAACGTATGGGGCTTTGGCCACCAGACAAGCAGAGGCGGTAGCCTTCCCAGGGTTCCCCTTGTAGTGCAGCCAGTGCATGTCCACATGGAAAGACTCAAGGGGTCTAGAAGCGAAAGTCTGAGACAGCTGGGTCCTGTGGTGCACAGTGCAGGACCTCTTGCTGCTGGTGCTGAGGTTCTGGTCCTACCGTCTCCCTGTTTTGTGGGAAGGCTCCTGCCTCTTTCAATGGAGGGGGCCTGGCCACTAGGCTTCAAGGGGCCCATGACAGCAAACAGCTATCAGCCTTCCCTGGTACTTCAGTGGTACGGGTGCTACCCTTGGTAGCAAAGGTTGTGGGTTCAAGCCTCAGCCTAATTGGACCCCTCTAGCCCCTCAGCTATGCTGGGTTGTGTGGAGGCTGGCGGGGAAAGCTGGCTTTTCTAGGTGCCTAAACCCCTGGTTGAGGGGTGGATGGTTTGCACTTTGAACATCAGGGTTTTTCTGCCACTGTGCCCCAAAACAGTGCCAAAAAAAACCCTGGCCAGTGCTGGGTGGCTCGGGACAGATCCAAGTGGGCTAGGGCAGCGGCACCCTTCTGCGCGCTGCTCAGCTAGCCGGATGCTGATGCAGGGAGCTCACACGTGGCCTCCAGCACCACTAACCACATCACGCTGTTGTCCTCCACGTGCAGCTGCTGCCACCATGCCCCCCGGCCCTTTGCATCTGGCCACTGGAGCTACACTTGTTAGAAAATGTTGATAATCCCTGGGCTAGAAACTAACACGAGAAGACAATTTCATATTCTCCTTCTAATTCAGGGGCGGGCAATTATTTTGGGTGGAGGGTCGCTTTCTGAGTTTTGGCAAGCCATCAAGGGCCGCATGACAGGCAGCCACGGGCAGATAAATATTAATTTTTTAGGGGCCCCACGGGCCGGGTAAAATGGCCTGGCAGGCCGCATTCGACCCGCGGGCCGCATTTTGCCCACCCCGTTCTAATTTGTTGCAAGTGGTTCAACAGACCTGCTGGAAAACATCCTCTTTCAGATCCCGTTTACTTCCTCTCATGTTAGCTTCTTCGCTGTCACTGGTATAGGAGGAGCGGCACTCTGGCCCATGGAGCAGGTCATCCCAAAGCATGTCCTCCGTCTCTGAATCGTGGCGGGTGCTCTCCGAGTCCCTCCGGGAGATGCTGCAGCTCCGGGACCCAGCACTAAAACAAGACCTGGATTCCTTCAAAGAAGAAAGAAGGCTTATCGGAAATCTTCAACCAAGGCACAGAAACCAGCTTTGCAGCTTAAAGCTACATGGTCACAATCACAGCCACTCCTCAAGCCATGCTGACAAGCTAGAACTCTAAGGACACTTCTACACAGGGATGCTTTTGCAGCAGGCAGCCTTTGAACACGAACTCACAGCAAAAAGTCACCAGTGTTTTCCCACCTTCAGAATAACTTACACAAGATTCATGAAAACTCTGAAGTCTGAGAAAACAGAGCCAGAATTTATAGTGCATTTTATTAGCTGCTTCTTCAGTGTGGGAAAGAGTTTAGTGAGGATTTATACAGCAGGATGGGAGGGTATTCTTGATTTCTGTGAAACAGAATTTTTTCTGTTTTTTCGAATAAAGCTTGATGATCACCCCAACACAAATGTCATCCTTCCGAGAGATGAGTTCCTAAGAAACAGTGATCGCAGGCCACACCAAGCATATGGCTGCTGCCAAGAGATGATTCAACACAAGGCACATTGTTAACTGTTTCAAAATTCACTACAAGGAATGAGAACAATAATGGAGGGCTTTTTTAACGGTGTCAGTTACAAAGCCTTCTACCTGGAGAACAAAATCTTCACCTCGTGGCTCTCCTACTTTAGCAGGCTATAAAACATGTACATAATTGGAGAGCTATGGAATCTCTTGCTTGTTGATAACTAAACTGCTTGAAGCAACTACTCTGCCTTTCAGACTATGTGTGGAGCAAAGGATTCAAAGAAAGAGCTTAGCATTGAAAATAAATTTCTTCCCCTTCCTCTTGTGCTGCGATCTATTCATGAGGATTCAGAGACAGGGACAAACATATGAAGGCTCATGGAACAGACTGGCTGTTTGGATTCTTGCTGGGATGATAAAGAATGACTGTATAAAAATGTCAGCAGGGAATGACCAGGACTGGGTAAACCAAGATAGCAGTGAGAATTACAGCCATGCCACTCTGCTCACTCCTGGCAATGCTGATGCAATTGACTCGTTTTGTAGAACTCATACCTGACTAAAGGCTGTCGATTCGAGTTCGGATTCTACCAGGCTGTCAGAATCTCTGGTACCTTTACCAGCTTGCTTAACCTGCCATCAACAAAAAGGAGGAGACATAAGTCAAGTGCTAGTAACAGCGAACTTTGTGGAGTCTGAGGTAACCCACCAGATCTACCTGGAACACAGGCTGGTTTGGGGAAATGAGAGGATTCCTGTTCTTGTCCTCATAGCTATTGTCACTGGAGGCCCCTTCTACGCTTCTGCGTAACAAAATCCTCTGTGCCACAGCTTCAGCATCCTCGTCACTTGACAGCTCATCAGAAATGCCACCCGTGTGCATGGAGCCCTCCTGGAAGAAGAGCAACCATTCAAACCAGTGCTAGGAAACAGGGCTAACAAAACCAAGCTGACCACCACCCCGCCTGGGCCACACTACCAATGCAACACCGTGGCATTCTGCAGCCTCGCCTCTACATCTACAGTAGGCAGTAAGGGGGAAATAACTTCAGAAGGCACAGGCAACCTATGGTCTAGCCACGCCTCCCTGCAATGGAGAGAGAGGGGAAGAGACGTTTCAAGAGGAAACCTCACCCCTCCAATAACAAACCAGAATGGGATGAAAGGTCATTGTCTGCTCCTTGCTGCAAGCAGTCGGAGGCTTCAAAGACCGGCCCTGCACACAAGGCGCTGCATTCTCCTGTGTGCAAGATAGGGCTGGGTGCCTTGAGAGACATGTCTCATATGCTAAAACTGTTCCAAATGTCTCCCTTGTGTACAGCAGCCTTTGGGGAAGAAGAGCATGGCTCGTTTCAAGGTTCTTACCTAACTACCTTAAGCAGGACTGTGGTGGGGGGCCCTCACTCTGAACCCAAATCCAAAAAGAACCCAAAGCATTAATATTTTAGTGCCTGCACAGAAGAAATCAGATGTCAGCTGCTAAGATCTGCAAGTGCAGGGGCTTGAGATGGCTGCATTACGAAGTCTGTTCATGTTTAATGGAATTCCATTACTGGTGATTTAATCATCCAGTCCTTGAACTGAGGGCTCCCCAAAAACCAAGCACTTACTTCAGTAGAAAGGACCCATATTCCTTTTGCTACAGGTTTTTGCATTTAGCGTAATCAGACTGTGTCCTGTCAAGTATTCAAGATGGGATTTATATTTACATCTCACAGGTAGGTGTCAGAACCAAGAATCACACAGCTGAAAAGTCAGTACAGTGATAAAAACGATTTCAAGTTTCTTTTAATTACCTGATGATTCTTTCCCCCATCTGCAAGTTTCTCTCTGTCTTTCAAGTGTAGTAGTCGATATTCAGATCTGGACTGTCTGTGTTTAACGCCCCGGTTCACAGAACTTGCACCATTTTCTGTTTCCGTCCCTTTTTCAGCTACCAGTTTCACCCTCCTGAATCTGGTGGAGAAAATGTGACAGAATATTTCTGATTTTGGAGCTAAATTTCTTTAACATTCTCTGTCACTTGCTTGTCTGGGTGCAAGACTAAGCAACAACAACTGGGAAGCTAAAGAATTCCCTTTTGATTTCAGGCACTTGAAATACTAACTCATCCTCCTTGCCTCCAATTTTCATTATACTGTAGCAATAATGGAAAATGGATCTGGACTGTTTAAATGAGGACAGGGATCAGTCTTTGAACTGTGCAAACAAAAAATAGCAAAACAGAGGGCAAAGGGACAGCAGAACATACAAGCCCATGGAGTTGTGACAGAAAGAAAGGCCCCATCACTCTGCAACTGTGTGGGCCTAAACTAAACACTGGGAATCCTCCTGTTTCCAGGTAGAGGACAGATTCCCAGAGCCCAAGCTTTGTGGTTGTAGCTGAAAGCATCTCATGCCCTGTGGGCATGTGCCTGTCACTCAAACACTTCCCTTAACTTCTTTAACTCCTCATTTCCCACACAGCAGCACTACAAACACTCATACCCCACTAGTACCACCCACCTCCTTCGGAAGACCAGGCCAAGCAAACTGTTGACGAGGGACAGAAGTTCTGATTGCTCTTCTCCTTTACTAGCTTTATCAGAAGACGACAAACTGCCAGTGTCTCTGCACCCATCCCCACTGGCAGATTTCCGTAATTTTCTGTTAAAAAAGGAGGGAAATGGGTATTAAGTTTGACAGAAGAAAAAATCTATAATTCTTAAAGACAGAATTAGATGCAAACAGCCACTGTACCAACAAGCAAATGACATCAATGTTTCTGTATGTAAGGAGCAGAGCACATGCTCCAAGGGCCAAATACACACCACTATAATTTAAACTGAAAAATTATGCAGCACAGAAATATAGACAGTCTCTGCATGGAAACTAGCAGGGACAGAGTTTCTCAGCCTCCCTCTCCACCTGAAGGGCAGAATGGAGACCAGCATTCCCCAGTGCTATATTCAGTTAATGAGCTGCAAAGTCCTCCACAAAGCAAAAAGAAAACATGTAAGAAATGGATGTGGGTGAGAGCCACACCACTCTGCCCCTTTGGAATGTGCATCAGAAACCTCTCAGAGTTAAGGCAAAAGCACGCCCCCAGGTAAGCTCCCAAGCCCAGAAGCACAGCCTGTTTTGTGAGGTGACCTCCTGGCCACTAACGGAACCTGGACATTAAAGCTACATTCAAAGGATAAGGGCCTTAGTGTAAACCTGGCAAAAGGGCAAGTATCCCAGCCAAACTTCTCCAAACTTACATTTGAGCGAACTGAAGAAAGAAGGGGGAAGGGGACAGGCTAAGCATGGAAGAGCCTGTGGAACAGACCATACTAATACTCACATGCTACAGTCATACACAACATTTACTTAAAACCACAGTGGATCTCCACCCATTCGCTTTGACATTACACCATGTACTGCGATTGCAACAAACACACCCAGTTAGTGGACCGATATCTGTCTCACCTCCTCCTCCTGCTGCTGCTGTTCCCTGAGGGCTTGTTTACCTGGGTGGACACTATCTGACAGTGAACAGTTCCCATCAGTAGCATAAGGCACATTGGTCCAATGATTTCACTTGCACTCACAACAGGTACCAGGAAATATAACACAACTGCAACCACTGAAAAGGAGACACAGTATCAGATGGAAAATCTGCAGGGGAGCTCCCCACAAAGAGCATGAAGGGGACTCAGCTCAGTTTCCTGCTTCTGCCGCAATCGTTTATTTTCGCTCAGAGCGTGTCGTTTTGCACCGGCTCATCTTTGGGTGCCTGGCATTGTTCTTTTTAAGTTTCTTCTGATTTTGAATGGGAGCTTTTAAACCTACTAAAACAACAGATGCAGAAGCCAAGATTTATGGTCTGCTCTTTAGTGTGATATGACACTATATGCCATATGAAAAGGTCACCCACCTTCAGCAGAGGCAGTTTCAGTTCCAGGAATCGTTATTACAAAGCTCAGCAGATAAAGAGGGCTGCTGAAAGATAACTCTCTGCAGCGTGAGATGAGCGGTCCCACATTTCCCAACACAGTGTCCTCACTAAACTGCTTCCCCTACTACAGCGGGGCAGGACAGCATAGGGTTAGACAAGCTATTTCTCGACCAAAAAGCAGCAGCCCGGGTACGGGCAAAGCAGGTTTTCTCCACACTCAGACTGTCTTCCTGATCTGGAGGATCCCCTCAAAGGACAGCTGCAGTTGGACTGCAAAGGGGTCAACCGCATGCAAGAGTCCACAGCGACCAGGCAGACAGCACGCAGCTAATTAACATCACAGATTTTAAGACCGGAGGGGATGATGAAGACCATCCAGGCTGCCCTCATGCAGAGCACAAGCCAGAGACTGTCCCTGCAATTTCTGTATCAAAGCCACAGCCTGCCACGGAGCCACGGCATGATAGTGCAAGTGACGCTAAAATGCTCGTGTAAAGCATAAGTGACCGAAGTCATGGTACCTGTGGCAGATTCAGTGCCACGTAAAGAAGGTCTGAGCCCTTCCTTCTCTAGGTGCTTACGCAGCCGCTGTTGCTGCCAGAGCCCCTCACATGCACTGATGAATGAGCGTCCTCATCTCATCTCATGGATGGGGAACTCAAGCACAGGCTGCTCACATGACCTCCCCAAGGAAAGAATCAGGCAGATCTCCTGGGCCGTGACCCAGCATCTTAATCACGAGCTGGACGGAGCAAATGCAGCATGGCGAGTCATTTAAAAACCCTTAACAGGAGATGCAAAGGTGGTGCCTGGCAGCATGATATTTGGAGGACCACGTGCGGTGCCAGCGGACAGCCCTGGACATCCGCCCTCCTGCTCGGGGCCGGGGGGCCGGCACGGTCCTCCGACTCCGGGCACGGCTGCGCTGGGCTGGGCCGCCGTGCTGCTTACCTTGCAGGAGGTAAAGCCCCAGCAGCCAGGTGAAGATGCGCTGGGACGTGACCCGGATCCACCAGCGGCTGAAAAGCGGGAAGAAGACAACGCGCACGATCCCCTTCCCGGTCAGGGAGGTCCAGGGGATGTCAGGCTTGGCCTTGGCGAACGTGGAGCCTTAGAGACACGGAGGGGCTGACAGCAGGGGGCGGCCCCTGTCCCGCAGCCCCGCCTCGGGCCCCTCGGCACGGCCGGCGGCTCCACCCCGCCCCGGGCGGCACGAACGCGGCCCCGCGGCCTACCTCGGACCAGGTCCACGTCGATGAGGTCCGGCTGGATGCGGCCCTTCCTCTTGGGCTTGGCGCCGAAGCCCTGCGGGGAACGGGGTCAGGGCGGCCGGGAAGGGGCCGGGGGTCGGCAGGGGAGGGGAGGGGGCGGACGC